AAACTTCTCGAATATCTTATCATACACATATGTCCAGATATAACAGAAAGTCATTCCCATCAATTCGGTTTTAAAGAAAACAGCTCTACCCTCCACGCAGAATTTCTTCTGAGTGAAACAATAAAGCACTATAATCATAATAACTCACCGCTATATATATGCAGTCTAGACGCCAACAAAGCTTTTGACAGTTGTAATTGGGAATTACTATTCGAGAAACTCTATTACCAGAAAAAAATCCCATTATCTATAGTTCATACAATATTATCACTATATCAAACAGGAACTTCTAATATATCATATCTTGGATGTACATCAAACAAATTTAGGCTGTCTCAGGGAGTGCGTCAAGGATCCATACTGTCGCCTCATCTCTACAATATCTACACAGAGAACCTTCTAGAGAAAATTGTTTCAGAATCAAAAGTTGGAACTTCAATAAATGGTGTATACACAGGTATCATTGCATATGCTGATGATATAGTTTTACAAAGTTCCACTATATCTGGTCTTCAGAGCCTTATTAACATTGTTCAAAAGTATGGACTATCGAACTTTATTAAACTGAATACAGAAAAAACTGAATTTCTAATATCTGGAATAAGTTCGATTTTAATTAACGTTATTTATATTAACGGTGATCCTATCAAGCCTCAAAACAATCTAAAACATCTTGGTTTCCTTTGGGATAATAAGAACAAAAAAATGACAGCAACACTCCAAAAACAAAATATAACTGAACGTGTAACGCAATTTTTATCTGTTGCAAAAGGTCTTATAAGAAATGGACTTCGCTTTTGCCAGCCTGCTACCATAGTTCATTTATTTAATTCTTTAGCTGTTCCAACGTTGTTATACGGATTAGAACTGTGTGGAAGCAGCAATAAGTTTCTAAATAGCATTGATATAGCTGGACGATCTGTCTTAAAATCCTTCTTTAATATTTCAAAGCAAAGTAGAAATTATCTACATTCTTATTTCAAAGTAGACGCTGTGTCAGACATTCTTTTTCGCAACAAGTTAAATCTATTTATCAGGCTTTTAAACAACCCCATATGTTACTCGATTATACGGACTCAGATGCCTTTAATGAATCAACGATCATTTGTGGGTGAGGTAATGATAATGTGTAAGAAAGCTGATATAAACATGCTCCAATTTATGATCGAGGGTAAGAAAATTATAATTGCACGCCCTCAGGAAGCATTGGAGGCCAATGTTGCGGCGATCTTAAAACAATCGTTCCAACACTGGAATTTAAAGGAACAAAGAGAAATATTTAGAACGCTGATGGAGGAAAACATTCCAAGAACGATGCAAGAAAATACTTAAATGTGCTTTGTTTTTTTAATACTTTTACCTATAGTTTATGTAATTATTGGGTGTTTAAAAGAATAAATATAACAGAATAGACTTTTAGCTTAAGACATCTTTAATACTGCAAATGACTAAGAAGATTGAATTTACCATCATTGACTAAGTGTTTTGGTAGGGTCAGCGATAAACTTAGGGCTAAGAGAAATTGTTCGGATTTTTTTCCCGCATTTTACACATTGAAAATTTCCGCATTTTTGCATCATAATATATTATATTAATATATTACATTTTAAATGAGCAACTTAAATCATAATAATATTATAATTTAAGTTGCTCATTTAAAATATAATAGCAGCACTTATGTATATTTGACGTTACCCATTAGCGTGATAATCTAAATAAAAAACATTTTTAAAAAGAAATCAATTGTTACTTTTCTAGGTGTTATTTTAGGTTAACATTTATCATGGAAGCCTCATATAAAATATGTTGAAAGTAAAATCGCAAGAAATATTTCCATATTATATAGAACTAAATCATTTCTTAATACTGAATCTTTGAAAAAAGTTTACTTTAGGTTTATTCTTATATTTCTCATAAAATATTTATCTTATTTCAGTGAAATCTCTCTCACAAAAAAAAGTTCTTACCAAATCCATTATAGTAAGCCCCTTTATAAGGCAATATTTATTTAAATTATTTACTAGGAAAATACTGTTTAAGAGATCACTTTGGAACTGTTTAAGAGATCACTTTCAAACAGATCAGAAAAAAAAAATCTAAAAGATACTCAATACAAAAATATAAAATGTCTCTTAAAACATGAATATAAATTTCATTATACTTTTCCTTTTTGTTGCAATTTTATTTCAATTAAACTTTATTAAATTTTTACTTTTTTTGAAAAATTATTCTTCTTTTCTTTTTTTGTTGTTGTTAATATCTAAAAATTTAAAAAATCTTCAGAATAAACTTAGACATCTGGGATTCACAAGGGATACTAAACATTCAGTTTTTGCTTCACTCGGTTATTCAAATGTTGATGAAAAAATATCAAACTTTAGAGCTGTTGTTCAAACTCTTATTCAATCTGGAATCCGGTTTGCCCACCCCAGTTCTATTTCCTATATATATAAATCATTGGCAGTCCCCACCTTAACTTATGGTATGGAGCTATGTGAAAATAATCCTGGTCTGATGAAAAAGCTAGATATAATTGGAAGGAGTGCGCTAAAATCGTTTTTAAATGTTTCAAAACATAGTAAAAACTATATGAATTCGTTATTTAAAATCCAAGAAATTTCAAAAAGTGTTCAACAAAATAAGTTAAACTTGTTCCTTCGACTTCTTAATAACAAAACAACTGCAGACATTATCTTTTCACAACTGCAACACCCATTATTTCAACATTCGTTTGTTAGTGATATTCAGGAACTATGCCATCTTCAGATATTAAATTTTCAAAACCTAATTCAAAATAAAAAGAAGGTAAAAATACCACTTTCTAAAAGTAAAATTCCTTCCGAAGTTGAACGAAACTTGAAGTATGTAATAGAGTGCTGGAATGCAAAAGAGCAAAGAGGAGTTTTCAAGCAAATTCTGGAAGAAAACGTTTTTAAGCAAAGTCATCCGAAATAACTTTCTTATTTTTTTCTTTTTACCTTGTTAATTGGGTGTTAAATAAATAAAATAATAATAATAATTTAATTTATTGCGTCATATTTCAACACGTGTAATTTATTGCGTCTTATTTCATCACTCGCAATTAAATTAAAAATTTATTCAAAAAATTTTATTTTTAAATAAATTTAATTTAAAAAAGACTTCAGACTCAGTAAGAGAACAGAAACTTAGAAATCTCCTACCCTGTCAAAATTAGAACAATTTTGTCTATGGTCGCTATCTTGGTAGACAAACGCACTTCGTGTAACAGTTAGTAACAGTTTCCCGCAAAAAAAAAAAAAAACTGATTTTAAAGTGAAAAAACGTTTTTTTGATTCTTAAATCAAAAATTTTTGATTCCAAGTGAAATATTTAAATTCTTATTATGAAATCTGCCAGAGTAGGTGCAATTTCTTTTAGAACAAACGGTTACCTGCGGAAGTTTGCAAATGTAAGTATCTATGATTATAAATGCTATAAGTATGTAACAATTTCTTTGTTTTGTCAATAGACCCCATTGGAGAAGACTTAGGATATTGTCTATAGTCTCTTCCTATGCTATTGTAATGATTGATACATAAAAATTCCAGATGGAAAGTTATTAAGCTCTTTCAAATTTCTATTTCCACATTTATAAACGAAGAGTAGATCAGATGCAACGAAGGGTAGATCTATAATAGCCACAGATGCAACTCGTTAAGAACTTTGGCGTCTGGGAATGCATTTAAAACTTTGGTTTGGAAGTTCATAGAGTCAGCTACGCATTTAGAACTGTGGCGTTTGAGAGCGCATACAGTAAGCAACACATTTATAACTTTGGCTTTTGAGAGCACTTATAATCAGCGACGCATTAAGAACATTAACGTCTGGGAGGTTAGAGGCATAAATTTCTTTATTAATTCTAATACTTTTTTAGTTATAACTTTTAATGTTAAATTTTCCTTATGTAAATGGTTTTGTGATAAATTTAAAATTGTAAAAAAATTAATTTGAAAACCATTTTTTAAATCCCTGACTTTATTTAGTTAACATTTGATAATTTATTGGAAAACATTTTATTTTAAATTATGTTTTTAGTTCTGTTAACGCAAAAATAATTTTTTGGATAAACTGCACCTGACTTAAATTGATCTCATTGCAACGACTCAATCTATTTTATTTCATGTAAAGAGGCGCATCGTGTAACCAAAAAAAAAGTTAAAAAGTCAAAATTTCCAACTAAACTAAATAGCATAAAATAAAGATTTATTTTTGTCGTATGTTATAATAAATAGTATAGTGTGATATAATATTATCATATAATAATATAAATAATTATATAAAAAATAAATAATAACTTAAACAAAAAATAATTATATGAAAAATAGATAATGATATATAAAATATATAATGATATAAAAATTAAATAAGAATGTAAACAATAAAAAAAAAGTAGTATGAAAAATTAATAATTATATATAAAGTAAATAATGATACAAAATATAAAAAATGATGACATAGAGAATAAGTGAGAATGCTTAAGTGTTTATCTATTTATTTTTTATTAAAAATGAAAAAGGAAGCTTTCCGTCTTAAGTAATCCATTTTTAAAACATAAATAGTTTCTAAAAACCATAAATAACTAGAAACTTCCATAATAATAATTTAAACTATTTTAAAAGTTTTGATTATTTCTTATTATTAATGTATAAATGTGATGCTCAAGACGTAACTAGCGAATACTTTTCAACTATTAAAAAAAATGATTTTAAATATTAAAATTTAAACTTACTGCGACGTTTTAATTAAATAAGATTTTTGACTAGGTTGTTATAAATAAATAAACACTACACTGAGATATCTTTCAGAAAGATTAAATAGATTCTTTTGCAGATTTATCTTTATCAAATTGAATTTTTGACGGGATATATTCGAAATGGACACCGCATACTTACTTTTTTTTTTAACTTATTTCTTATCTAAAATTAAAATTAGATCTTAATTAAAAAAATTGTTAACATAATTTTCTAAACATTATTTATCTCTATTTTAATATACAAATATTGATTCTTCTATTTCTGAACATTTTGTAAGTCGATTTTGTGACCTAAAGTTTTCTAAATAAATATAAAATATTTCAACAGCTGCAAAACTTCATCTGTCTATTTTGTCTCGGATGACATTTTTTTTTTTTTTTTTTTTTTTTTTTTTGTAGTCTTCACTTTTGTTGTAGTATTTTTCATTGTTAATATTTTGTTGCGGTATTCCACTAAACTAAAATTCCACTAAAATTTCATGAATACTTATTTAAGCTCAACATCGAATATCTTTCAGTCAAATTAAAATCACTACTTTTTCTTCCTTGAATCAGATTGTCAGCTTTAATTCCAAAACTTCGTTTAATAAATCTTTTAAAACCAAAATGCATCTTGTAGTATATTAATGGGTTGACGCATGAGTTAGCTACGTTAAATACTTTTAGAAAAGAATTCAAAGTCAATATAGGCCTATTGAGTGCAAAGCCGTGGCCAAAACACCAGCTTAATAAATAAACAAACTGTAAGATATCACGTGGCAAAGTCAGAATAAAAAAAACAGTTGTGAGTGCAATTAATAAGCGAATTATTCTGTAATTATCTTTTTTTCTTCTTGTTGCACCATTTCCTAAAACTAGCGTACTTGTTGGGCTATGACGGAGCATTTTTGAAAATATGCGATAATTTGTAAAACTAATGACAACTAAAAGAGTACAAGCGTTTATAAAGAAATAAAAAATACTGGGTACAAGGTATGTTTTTTTTCCTGCGTCGGGAACACTACATTTATTTGTTTTAACATTTAAAGTTATATTTAACGCATAATGTGCGTTCATTACTAGGGCGTATATCAGAATCAAAAAAATACTAAGTTTGATATAGATAAACTTGAAGTGCCGTTTAAATGGATAAACAATGGTGCGTTGGCGATCAAACGATAATACAACAAATATTCCACCAGACATAGTTGTAGCAACTGTCCCAATCGGAACAAAAAGCTTACATGCCCAGTAACCAAAGTACCATTTATAACGCGTTAAAGTCCAATAAGCATACAAGAGTGGGTTGAAAACAGAAGCAAAAAAGTCTACTAGTGCCAGAACGCAAAATAAGAAATCTGGTACTTTGCGTTGCTCGATTGAACGAGCAGGTTTTTCTTTAATTCCAAAATAAAAGAAAACAAACACATTGCCAATTGTACCAAACACAAAAATAATTGAAAACAACGTCACGGTAAGTACTTCTACTGTGGTATATGCATTTTCATTAATTGCCTTAGTTGAATTGAACGACATTTCTAATTTACATGCATAAAGTGAATTATCTTTTATTTTGAAAATTTAATAAATTTACTTACTCAGCTTAACATAAAAGAAAAAAATCCTTAAAGATTTTTAATTTTTGATGAATTAAGTAAACGTGCATCTGCATAACAATAATGGTTAGCATACTGACAACAATATTAATAATTTAATTTTATCCCTTTTGTATTTATTTGTATTTATTACATATTATATATGCTTTATAATTTTACTTACCAGGCTATATAGCTTATGCAATACATAGCTATCATGCTTTAGAATTAGTTAATTTTACTAAATCTAAAATACTATGAATGAAATGTCCAACGATCAAACAATAAGATTGTTAGCTGTCAACCAATAACACTTCTAGGATTATGTATTATATACAAATTTATTTGCGCAATGCATTTATCTTTATTTACTAGAAGCTCTATTTTGAAGTTTTCATTTGATGTTATATTTAGTTCAGATATTTTTTAAACTTTTAAGTAGGTTGATATAAAAACTGCTAAAAACAAACTAAAAATCTTTTTTTTTTTTTTTTCTAAAACTGTAAAACGTTTAAAGAATGAGTTTTAAACTTTACATTTTTATAGCGCCTAAGTATAATTATATATTATAAATATAATTTGATCAAATTTGAAATCTAATTATAAACAGTGATCCTTTGTAAAGTAAAACAATTTTTTTTTAAATAAGTTACCTACAATCAGTGGTTTAGAAAGAGAGCGTTTGAGGTAGAAGAGAGTAGAGGGAATTTTTAATTTTGTGCTCCATTTACCGAGATTAATTTCAAAAGTAATATTTTAATGAATATTAGCGTAGAAAAAAAGATGTTATTTTCTCCATTTTTGGCAGTTGGCAGAAACTTATTTGAAATGCAAAAAAATGATCAATCTCCACAAACACTAACAAATATCAAATTAAAGTCGTATTTTTTCCCATGGTGTTCATTAAAATAATATCCATGCAGTAGATTTATGTTGATAATTTCTTCAATCAGCTCTATCAAGGATTAAGTTATCTGAAGTTCAATAGCCTCTTGCGATAGTAAAAAGTATTTTCCGTTGTGACCCTTATTTAAAAATTAAACCTTTAGGCACCGCTTTCCCAAAGTTTATAGAACATCAAAAGTTAAGGTAAAAAATAAAATACTTACAGAGAGTTTAACGATTATGTTAATAAGTTTAAAGCCAGAGATCTTACACTCAGAGATGTTGATAAGTTTAAGGTCAAAGATTATAAACTCAGAGATGTTGATAAGTTTAAGATCAGATATCTTAAACTCGGAGATGTTGATAAGTTTAAGATCAGATATCTTAAACTCAGAGATCTTGATAAGTTTAAGATCCGATATCTTAAACTCAGAGATGTTAATAAGTTTAAGATAAGAGATCTTAGACTCAGAAATCTTAAACTCATCAGCATCATTATTCAATTCAGGTGATTATCATTCAATTCAACTTCAATTGATTAAGAAGGAGTTTGAAATGTTTATAATCTGTGATAATTATTTTCTACAATTAGAACTATTGCTAGTAAAATTACATTATTGACTTTGTAAAACCTATTTAAGTAGCATGACATGTTTGCGAAATTAACAAAGGTGTTCTCCTGTGTTCTTCAGATCATCAAACATCATCTTATGTCTCCTTTAATACTCTTAAGACCACATAATCTAAAATATTATTGTCAATTCTCAAGTTTAATAAAGTTTCACTTTGTATCTAACTTATATGTGATTTTTGTTTCAAGTTTAAAGTTTGTACTTTCAACACAAACTGAAACTTTTTTCAGTGCCTTAAAAATTCTGTCAGCAACATTTGGATTCTTTGGACCTATTAGTTAACATTCTGAGCAAAATGTGTTTCTTTTACTAATGGAAATTTTAGTATCCTGCCCAGGCATCAAATAATAAAAAAGCAGTTTTTATCTTCTTGTTCATTCCACCCTGCTTTTTAATTTGATGACAACAACTTGACTAAGTCAGTTTTACTGACTTCCTAACCTTTCTGTTTCAAATATAGGTTAGTATTGCAATTGCATTAAGTCCATTTGCATAAGAACTTAAGTATGAGCTAAGTCCAGGGTTTGCATACTCTTTTGTTAGTTTTTTTTTTCTCTATCAATATAACAGAAAAGATACATCTCTTACCTTCTGTATAAAGTCTTGCTTCTACCTTTTTCTTCTTGTCTTTTTCTTTGCAGTCTCTTCTTTTTGCATCCTCTTCTTTTTGCAGCCTCTTCTTTTTGCATCCTCTTCTTTTTGCATCCTCTTCTTTTTGCATCCTCTTCTTTTTGCATCCTCTTCTTTTTGCATCCTCTTCTTTTTGCATCCTCTTCTTTTTGCAGCCTCTTCTTTTTGCATCCTCTTTTTTTCCTCTTACTCTTCTTTTCCTCTTTACTTTCTGTATGAAAGCGTTTCCTTTGCAGCCTCGTTTTAAAACTAAAACCTTTTTTTCAATATTTGATTATTTTGATTTAATAAATTGATACTCTTCTGTCGTAAGTGAATAATCTGACAATTAACATAAATTATAAACACTAATTTGTCAGAATCTTGACGTATTTGCGTCTTTTATTTAGTTTCTAAAAATTGAATTTGAGACGCTCTTCGCATTGTTTGAGAACTGGAACAAAAATGCCCTAAATATTATTCTTATAAATCTTATTCTTATAAATACTTATCCTTATTAATACTTATTCTTATAAATACTTATCCTTATAAATACTTTATCCTAAGTAATTCTTTAATTTAAGAAATATATATTGTATATTATATATACAATTTTTCAAAAATTTTTCAAAAATTTTAAACTATGCTAAAGTTATTCAAGCTAAAAAAAAAAGTTCAGCTTTTTAAAATACTAAAAATAATATAAATACATATTTGTAGCAGGCCTAATGCTGAGCTTCAAGTTGGATCAAAACGTGTAATTATTCTCTTTTGTTACAATACAAACAAAAGAATTTATGAAAATAATAGCTTATATTAGCTATATATTTTATTTATTCTTATTCAAATACAAAGCCATCCCAGTTTTTATTTCATTAATTATGTACCATAAACAAAAATTAATTCAATTTAGAAAATGATAATTTAATTTGGCAACCATTCTTCTTAGCTAAGTTAAAAAACAAAACAAATAAAATCCGTTTAACAACGTTTTCTGAAACACATGAAAAGTTTTAAAAACCATTATAATATTCCATGGCAAAGGTTTTTAAATTTTGGAGCAATACATTTTTTTTAATTATGTTAAATATTAAAAAAAAAAACATAAAACAATGCATTAAGGGCCTAATGAACATTTTTTACTTACATCTAAGTACGTATAACAGTAAAAAATGAAAATCTTACGTTTTAAGGAAGTGGGGCTAATAAAAGTCGAACTGTATGAAAATGTATTTTTTAAGAACCTTTAATGTGCCAAAATATGGTTGATACAGCTATTTTGTTGTTAGAATATGTTACTGGAAAGTTAATAAATATATTTATCTACATTTAGAGTTTTATTACTTAAACATTTTAAATTTAAGCAGTTGAAAAACTTTAAATTATGCCTAAAAGTTTTTCTTTAAACTTTTTTTATTTTATTTGAAATAACCTGATAAAATTATTATTATGCAAATAAACCACATTTATATTCTATATTATTTATAAAGTCTATATTATTCAAAAATCGTGCAAAGATGACTCATGTTCGTGTTCATGGGTCATGATCTCTTTTAATTGTTTAAGTTTATAGTCACAGAACCCTAAGTACTTGATTTTTTTAATTCCTTTTTCTGCAGGTAAATAAACAAGCAGACTTAAATAATTGAAAAAACTTTATCAATTTAAAAATTAAAATCTTTAATAAGCTATGTTTTTCATAAAGTAAACGACAATTTTGTTAAATGCATTTATTAAATGAGATGTCTAGGAGAAGTGGGGCATAACCGCCCCCGTAACGTTTATATTAATGTTATATGAAAATAAAAAAGAAATGAGTTTTTTAGCAATTTGTTTCAATAACCACATCATTAAGCTTTAAATTGATGCAGTTAAGAAAATAAATTGAACAGTTTTTGAAAATGTTATTACACAAAAATTACACTTAGTGAAAAAAACGGTTTTGCTCCCATTGTGAGGCACAACCGCACCCTCACAAAAATTGTTGGGGGTACACTTTTCTAGGTACATTTTCTTTACAATTGTCATAGCTAAGATTATTTTCTGATTTTGTTGCACGTTTACATACTGAATAAGTATTCTTTGTACTTACAGTATGAGTTTTCTCATTTTATATACTCTTAGCTTAATTTTTATTTAAAAACTCGTTTATAAAAATTAAATAAAAAAATGCAAAATCTAATTTGGGGTTTAATGATAAGACTAAATTTAGGGCTTAATGATAAGACTAAATTTGTCTTCTTCTAGCCCCGGTCATGTAATTATTTTTTTTATCGGCAAAAGTGTAAATAAAAAAAAAAAAAAAAAAAAAAACACTCAAAACTTTTTAAAATAATTTCTAACTTCTCAAAACAAAACATTTTTAACGTCGTTTCTAACAAAAAAAAAACTTTTCTAACAAAACTTTTCTAACAAAAAACAAGCTTTTCTAAGAAAACTTTTCTAACAAAAAACAAACTTTTCTAACAAAACTTTTCTAAAAAGTAAGCGGTTGTGCCTCCTATGTGGTTCTGCCCCAGAGGACAGTTTTTAGAGAATATATATATATATATATATATATATATATATATATATATATATATATATATATATATATATATATATATATATATATATATATATATATATATATATATATATATATATATATATATATATATATATATATATATATATATACATATATATATATATATATATATACATATATATATATATATATATATATATATATATATATATATATATATATATATATATATATATATATATATATATATATATATATATATATATATGTATATATATATATATATATATATATATATATATATATATATATATATATATATATATATATATATATATATATACATATATATATATATATATATATATATATATATATATATATATATATATATATATATATATATATATATATATATATATATATATATATACGAATTTATTCTGGGAATATTATGAACATTAAAATTTAAATTTAAAAATAATTTTTTTTTAATTTAAAAGTTTACTATAAGAATATAATTTGTTTATACAAATTTTATTCAAGTTCTTTGTGTTTACGAGTTACTTGAGAGTTTTTACGAGAGTTCTTCATGTAAAAGATTGCTTTCGAAAAAATAAATTTAGTTTTTTGCTTACTTTTTGCGCTTTTACAATGTTTTAAAATTCGCTTTATAAGTTAATCTTTATATCGTTTCTAATTTCATAATCTCCTCAATGATTTATCTCCTAAAGCTGTTTTCAATTTTAGGCGGTTTTAGACGCTATAATGTATAATTAGATCAATGATTACTAAAGCGTAGCTTTCGTTATGATCTTTAGCTATAAACGTTGACTAAAACTCAAATCCGCTAATCGTTCAGTTACGTTAAAATTACTGCTTCTTCCACGAATTAGAGAATCAGTTTGACAACCAAAACTTCGTCTAATAAATCTTTTAAAACCATAATGCATCTTATAATATATTAATGGGTTCACGCATGAGTTAGCTACGTTAAATACTTTAAGAAATGAGTTTAACGTTAATATTGGTTTTGAGACAACTAAACCTTTACCAAAACACCAGCTAGATAAAAAAACAAATTGAAGAATGTCACGAGGTAAAGTTAGAACAAAAAAAACAGTACTCAGCGCAACCAATAAACGAACTATTCTGTAATTATCTTTTTTACGTCTTCCATAGCCGTTTCCTAAAACTAACGTGCTTGTTGGACTTTGATGAAGCATTTTTAAAAATATGCGATAGTTTGTAAAATTGATGACAACTAAAAGAGTACAAACGTTAATTAAGAAGTAAAAGATACTGGGTATATTGTACGCCTTGTTTGCTGCGTTCGGTGGAGCACAATGTTTATTTTTTAAAGTAATATTAAGCGAATAATGAGCATTAATAACTACTGCGTAGACTAAAACTAAGAGAATACTTAGTTTTATGTAAGCAAACTTAAAATGTCTTTTAAATGGATAGACTATGGTGCGTTGGCGATCAAACGATAACACAACAAATATTCCGCCTGACATGGTTGTGGCAATTGTTCCAATTGGAACAACCAACTTACACGCCCAATAACCAAAATGCCATTTATGACGCGTTAAAGTCCAATAAGCATACAAGAGTGGGTTGAAAACAGAAGCAAAAAAGTCTACTATTGCCAGGACGCAAAACAAGAATTCCGGTACTTTGCGTTGTTCAATTGAACGAGCAGGTTTTTCTTTTATTCCAAAATAAAAGAAAACAAACACATTTCCAACAGTACCAAACACAAAGATAAGTGAAAATAAAGTTACAATCAGTATTTCAACTGAGTTGTATGCTTCTTCATTGATTTGCTTACTTGTGTTAAATAACATTTTTTGATGTTGTCAGCATCACATCTGTTTAAAATCTACAACAATTTTCATAAATTTTGTTTTAATGTAAATATCTATTTAAAAAATTAAATAAAACAGTTTAAACAACTCTAAATAAATCAAAACACAAATGCAGTAGTTTTGATATATACAAATGCAGTGGTGGGTTAATGTGGCGGGTTTTTGACAATAGTCTAAAAGATAAATATTTATCCTAGTGAATAAAAACAAATTTAAAAAAATAAATTTAAAAAAAAATTTAGTTAAGAACTGTTTAAAATAAGTAAATGTGGTGCTTTAGATCTCCTTTGCATCCACAATGACATCAACAATGCTTTTTTTAAGTAGCTTTAATACTATTTTTAAGTGAAACTTACACTCTAACCCTTACTCTTGATCCTTTTAAAAATGGTGAACTTCTAAAATAATTTCGAGCAAAAAATGGTAATATTTCATAAAAACATAAATATTGTAGCTTTCACTATACTTTTAAGTTATCCCATGGACGGGGAGTTTAGGTAAAACATGCGGGGAATTAGAGTGTAACACGAAGGGAGTTTGTGTACAACACGTGAATGCAAAACTAAACATATTTTAAACAGCTATTTGACACAACCTAACACTGCTAAGGTTTAATTTTTTTTATAAAAATATAATCTTTATAAAATTAATAAAATATCTGTAATTTTCAAAGTTTACAAAAAAAACGTTATTTTAAATGTTGGGAGCAATTTTTTTTTTCCGTTTGAAGAATATTTTGAAACAGGTTGTTATTTGTTTGTTTTTTTATACTTTTTAACTTTTTCTTTTAATAGTTTATTTTAAAACCTTCAACAGTTGAGAGTACATTATCAGTTGAGAGTACTTTTCTAAAAATGCTAAAGCAAAAGGCTTATTTATTTTATACGTTTTGCTCAAGCATTTTTTAAAGTCCAAAGGATGTCTAGGAAACAACATTTTTATAAACGCAACCATCAGATTCTTTATTGGCGACAAATTAGTTTTATTTGAATCAGAAAAAAATTATAATTAGCCTGGTAAATCAAACTATGGGCTTTTTTTCAATGAAACTGTTAGATTAAAATTATTTTAGTTAAAGTCTTTTAACATTGTGGAAAAATAGGTTTATCTGCATTCTGATGATGTGAATCATATTACACTTTCTCAATGTATTTTTACAGGACCAGGTAGCAATACTCCAATACCTAGTGTTAATAGAAAATGTCTTACAGCTGTGAGTATGAAAATAGCAGTACCTTATTATACAGTAGTATTTATCCTTGGTATTTTGTTGCAAAACCTTTGTTTTGAAAAACAAAGTTAAATAAATACTTTTTGATGGGCCAACTCAGATGTTACTTCGCGAACTACAAACGTTTAGAGGTATGTTTTTTTTGTCAACAAAAGAACTATTCGTGGACTGTATGCGTATAAACTGTTCTCTCTTAAGCATCACGAACTGTTGTGTTATTCACATATAATTCAAAATCATCTTTGACTTGCTTGGCTGATGAAAATGGTTTGCTTTTAGCATATCTTACAATTCTTTGGTCTTCTTGTGTGGTAGTCTTACGTTTTCCACCTCGTTTTTTAACTTTTACTTTATAATTTAAGGCATTTAACATTAATTAACATTATTTTGAAGCATTATAACTCTATAATGCTTCAAAATAATGTTGCTTTCTGTTGTTGGCAAGTGGGTCTGCCCCTTCCCCCCCCCCCCCAAAAAAAAAAAAAAAAATAGTAATTTGGCCCCAATTTTTTATTTATTTATTCTAAAAAAGTGGATAAAATTTACTGACTACCCCAAAAAGCAGGGTACCTGACATATTTTAACGTCGCCGTTCATAAGACTAAAAACGATCAAATTAACGCTAAAATTCAATTAAATATATTTTATAGTTGTTAAATTGGTATAAAGTTTACTAGTAAAGAGTTTTTTTAAATACTGTTAATGTATTAAGCAGATAACACAAGAACGTCTCAAACCATCAAAAAAAGGGTTTGCGACGTGTTTTCATGGTTGCCAACTCATTTATTATCATTTGATTTCCTTGCAACCTTGATTTCAATCGACAGCATTGTTAAAGAAGACAAACTTTCATCGACCATTGTTGACCTATTTAAAGATACAAAGAAATATAGCTACATGTATTTATGTATAATGAAGCAAGATTATTTATACTCATCTCTGAAAAGTTTTAATTAGTTTTAACTTGCTAAAGCTACGTTCTGCACCTGCAACAGTAACTGATTAAGTAAGAATGATTCGTAATGCAACAACTAGATTGGGATAAGTTTCTTGCAGCTCTTCTTTGAGGCAATTTTTTTCTCCTTGCTAACTATGACAAATCGTTTTAACTCCATTTCTAAATCCTCAAAACCAATTTCACCAAGCTTTATTTGCAAATTTTTGCAATATATAGACAAAGAGTTTTTCTTACAGGCTTTGATAAGACTTTCAGATTGGTAAAAAAAGTCATTAAGCTTTGTGACAATGACATATCAATTAATGACAACAAAAAAAAATTCTTTATACTGATATTCAGGTTACCGAGTGTGATCAACACACTCGTATGAATAAATCGACATTTTTTTTTCGTAAACGTATTATTGCTAAAACATTTTCAATCCCCAATACTTCTGCGATTTCTGATGCCTTAATACATACGTCGGAAAATCTATTTTTGCGATACTCATAAAGAAATGCATTTGTTGCCTTTATTTCACTAGCTAATATGTAGAGAGAGGTTGCAGAAAACTGAAAAAGCATACTTGGTTTGTTGATTTGAAATAAAACATCATATCAAATAATGATTGATAATAAAAAAAGCCATGTTCTAATATATTCCGTGAGCGATCGTACTTTTGTGGCTGTAGCCCTATCTCTCTTCTAAGCCATGTTCTTCCAAACTTTCAAGTGCCTCTAAGATTTCTTTTAAATAACAGCTAAGTGGTTTAACACAGTTTATTCTACTTTCCCATCTAGTATCTGATTGTGGTGACAGAAATAGCCACGCACAATTTTAAAAATTCCCATCGAGGTGGAGAAAATAAAAAGAGTGTATATAACCTTGAAAGAACACCAAAAAACAAAATTGAACTGATAGATGGCCAATGTTCATTTGTTTCTTTATGCAAATTGCATGGCGTACAATCTAAAGTAATATAATAATATTTTGCTTTTTTTACCTTAGACAGGTTTTTGGACTCAATCTCCTCCTCAAACCTCGTTCTGTGTCTCATTGCTCAAATAGTGATCTTGGTTTCTTTGCCCTGAATTCTTTGCATAAGTTTATTGAGAACGGTATCGTACTTAGCCAGTAATTCAAACACGCCAAGAAAGTTTCCGTTGCTCTTTGAACCAATAGCTGTGTCTGAATCACGGAATTCAAGATTTCTTGCAGAAAGAAATAAGGTAATGTCCACTATCCTTTCTAACACTGAACTGCATAGATGAGCAACTTTTGTTGTTGCTCGTCTATGGTAGCTTGATTTGCAATGCCTGCATTACCAAAATTGAGGGGGAAAAGTTAATTAGAAAAAAAAGTAACAAACCGATAAATTAAAAGAAATATGAGTTAACCTTTTCGTTAGTCATCCAGTGTTCAAAGTACTTAAAATGTACACTGTATGTTTCGTGTTCTTTAAGTTTTTTGTGTCGGATTGGTGAAGAAGTTATCCCAAAAAGTTTGCAACAAAAACAAAACACTTTATTGCTCTTCAAAGAATATACAAGCCATGTCCGTTCAAAGATTTCTCCATTCTTCACCTTGCTGTTAATATAACTCAGTGAAAATTGTCTTCTTTCTAAATTGTCTAGAAAATCAATTTCAATCTTTTCAAAACCACGTTTAACAATGTCACACCTTTGTGCGTCAGAAACATCATCAGGCAACTCAGAAGGAAACTCACTAAAAAAAATAGGTGGAATTGTTATGCCGTTTGCTGTAGACTCGCATATCAACCAATCTGACTCTAGTATTCAAATAATGACAATCAGAATTATTTGTAGTTTCTGCTGGTGTCGAAACACTTCCAGGCTAAACTGCTGGTTTCTAAAAATGTGTTATTTAGGGTATTTTTTGATTTCCTCCCTGGCTGCAGCTTTTTCTCTTCTCTTAGTCGCACCACTTTTCACTTTTTTCATACCAATATTTATATCGTGAAAAACTAACGAAAGATAAATATAAATTTTTGCAAACCTTCTTTCATTGTTTATTTTTTATGATATAAAAAACTAACAACGCATAATAATAATAAAAAAATTATTTCGAAATTGCAAAATAAAAATAATAAATTTATAAAGCTTGCGTTTTATAATATAATTCGCACCTCAGAAATGTTAATTTATTTTTCTTTTTTTTTTTGCATTAAAAATGTTATTGCTTTTTTTCACGCTTGCATAATTTAGGTAAAATTGTGATTAAAAGGCCAAGTTATTTTATTAATAGTAACAGTAACTATATATATTTAAATATTTTTATTATAAAAAATACAATTTTTTTTTTTTTGATTTTGAAAAGGGCCCCTAAAAATGCTGGGCACCCCCAATTTGGGGTGTGTGGGAAGCCTAGCCATGGCTCTGGTTGTTGTACAATGACTTCCTCGGTGACTTTGAAAGGTTTAGAAAAGGTTTTTACTATTAAGCATACACAAATAAATAAAGAATATATTATAATTGAAGTTATACTTACTTTCCCAGTAAAAATTACGAAAATTTCAATAAATTTTATGAACTAACTTTAAAATCAATAGAACCACTGCTATTTTAATTACAATTTTATTTTTCAAAAATAACTCTTGGATGCATTAAATTCTCATATGCTCAATTTACTTATCTCATCCTTGTATATACGCAATTAAAAAATTAGTCATTCTATGTTATACAGAAGAAGAGTAATAATGGAAATACGAATAATTTTTTGGTACTGCTATTTTCATGCTCGCACATGCTCGTACATGCTCGCACATGTTCGTTTTATGGGAAAAAATACAATGTTTTAATCTCTAAAAAACAAAATTTTGATTTTGT